GCAATAGAGAGGGAGAGGGAGAGAGAGGCAGATAGAAAGTTGATTAAATTTTGTAATGCTTTTGAAAAGCCTGTTCTATTGTGAGCAATGAACAATAGAAGACAAGTTTATAAATATTCTCTCTCATTCTTACTAATATAAGTCTTCTCTCTTTTACAGTTTCCATCAGTCTCATTTAGTTTCGCAGCTCTACTTTAATGTGCCAACATAGACTCTCGGCTACTTATCAGCTATAAATATAAGCGCATTTCATATTCGACTTGAATTGGTTTTTCCTGCACTTGGACGTGACCTGCCCAATCTGCTTTCTCTTGCACCCCGCTCACCAGCCCCAGCCATTAGCCTGTTCCGCATGTCAACTGGAGCGGCAATAAGTGCCATGCATATTGTCGCAGCCAGGTGACGCCACAAGCGCTGCTTGACAGCATAAACTGCAACTTGGCTGCTAACTTGGCTTATTGGCATTGCCAGGTAAAAGTCGCAACGATAGTTGAGCAGTAAATGGCACGCAACAAAATGAGAGAGAGCGAGAAAAAAGAAACTACTATGGCTTGGCTTAAACCTCAGCGCAGAAGCTTACCAAAAGGCGGGCAAAACTTTCTTTTATGGCGCAGCTTGAAAAATTGTGCTTGGCATAAAAGGCGCAATTATATAGAATGCAGTTTGATTAAGGCAAATGAAATGGCAAAAGCTATTAAAAATAGTAACTTAATAACCATAAAAGTAAGCCCGATAAACAAATACAATCTCTGGCAAACATCTTGAATAACTGCATATTGCGCAGAGCTCACCTGTATCTAAATTGACAACGGAAAACAAAAAACTCTCTCTTAAATAAAAATTTAGCTAGAGTTTTATCGTCTGCCCAATATCTATGCACATGTTCCATATGAGCACGAAAAAAAGGAGTAAAAATGGATTTTGTTGCTCCTCTCGCTTCCCCCTTTTCGTTCATCAACAATACATGAGCAATTCACACTAGTTTCCCCCTATTTTCCACTTCGCGATTTTATTTTTTTGGCTGTTTCTGTTTTTCTTTCCACAGCCCTTGAAGCAATTTACGCGCTGGTAACGATTGCATTGCAATTGCTTGACCCACATGTCATAAACAATAAAATATATTAAAATATATACGCGGCATATGCGAGTGGACCCATTTAAAACAGGACGAACAACAGCTCGAACAATGGCCAATGGCCAATGCACCATGGGGATGGCTGGCTGGCTGGCTGGCTGGCCGACTCGCTGTAAAATTTAAACAAATTTTTGCACATTTCCTGTTGCCCATTGTTGTGCATTGTTCATTCTCTGTTCTCTGCACTCGAATGTGTGCTGCGTTGCACTTGCAGCTTGACACAGTTTTCAACCACACCCATTTATTTGCAATGTCAACGAGCCTGTTTCAAAAATATAAAAAAAAAAACAACAAAATGAAATGAAATATGAAAATATTCGCATTGTTTTCGTTGGGTATGCCAAACGCAATAATACGCTGTAGCCGAGCTCATAAAGAAGGCAAAATTGTATTTGAGCTTTTATTAAATGTATAAAATAGTTAGAGGTTATAGAATTATTATATATATAATACAATAAAAAAGTTATAAATATATTAATGAAGAGTGCATTTAAAAAAGAAAATATAGTAAAAGAAATTTTCAAACACATTAAACTATTAGTACAATAAGGTAACTTTGGAAGAGTGAAAAAGATGGTCCTGACAATATTACTTTTAAAATTGTTTATTATAAATTTTAATAAAAAAAAATTGCAGCTCCAGTTTTTATGGCAAAGTTGACAACTGCAATTTAATCAAAGTGATTTGACAATTTATTAGTCAGTTAATAATTAATTTTTACAATTAATAATGAAATAATTTATGATCTATTATGTAAATGTCAATATTTTTATTTATATTTAAAAATTTATTTTTTCTTTCAATAATTGCACAAATATATTTAAATGATGACCAAATATATATTACATTTTTTTCGAAAATTTTATTTTTCTATGTTAATTTTTTATAATTTTGTGCATTTTTTTGCACCTCATGAATAAATATTTCTTCACCTTTAAAACTCCTCATAGCCAGTCTTAAATTCTACAGGATATTCGACAAACATGTCCATTGTGATGCTTCGTGTTTGTTTATTTGTTAGCGCCTTCTGCTAATAGTTACAACAGGCAGCAGGCCATGAAATTTGCATGTAATAATGTGAGCAGCAGCAGCAGCAGCAGCAGCAGCTGCATACATGATGCGAGCAAATGCTTAGCTTCTCGAGACGCGACCTTGAACCAAGCCGCAATGCAATGCAACAGACAGCTACAGATAACGCCTCTTTGCTGTCGAGGCAATTGCCAATTGGCTTAGCAGCTAATTAGCCGTTAGGGTGGGCGTGGGCGTGGGCAATGGCGGCAGCTTAAATGAATTTTAAGTGAGCCACTTAAAGCCGAACTTAAGTTTATTTTTGTGGCTTGCAGCATTTTATTGGGTTTTAATTTCCGTTCTTGAAGGAATGCATGTGAGGCAGCCGCAAGAGCGTGTGTGAAAATTGAAATGTCAACTCTGGCAAGTCGACTTGCCCCACTACGTCTCTATAGCTCTGCCTCTCCCTCTCTCTTTCCCTCCCTCTCGGTCTCTTTCCTTTTTACTCTGAATTTGGTTGAATCCCTTGCTGCAGTCAGTGCAAGCCATGTCGTGGTTCGCTTTTGCTGCCGTTGACAGTCATTGACAGCGACGAGGACAAAAACGAGTACCATATCGAACGGGTAGTCAAGCGAGGACAGAGGGACGTTATGAATGCTGGGTGGAGAGTGGGGAGTGGAGAGTGGGAAGTGAGTGAGCAGGGACTCTCGCATAATATGCAGGCAATGTTGCATGCTGGGCTGCACTTAATGCTGACTCAACGCTATATAAGTTCTTATTTGCCAGGCGACTTGGCTTCCCAGCACTCCTCTCTGTCTTTGTCATGTTTCGATACTTTCGCTTGGCTTGACAACGTGCGGTACTTAATTTGTGCTCTACATCGGTCATAGTCGACACTTGAGTGTGCTTTGCTGAGGCGCATACTAATTTATGGAAATTTTAAGTCTCTTTTCAATTCTTTTGACTGCAGTGAAAGATGAACTTGGTTTGAATAGCCACGTTTTTATAGGCCTAAAGAAAGAGTTTCCCAGAGCTGTGTTAGGAGTTTTATATAATAATAAAATAATAAATAAATTAAAACTATTTTTATAACTTTTATTTTATTATAACTAATAACTTCTAGTTAGCTCATTTACAATTCGCTTGAATTTAACTTATTTTTATAAATATTTTATTATTTTAAGCAAAGCTACTTGAGCTCCTTCTTGTTTGGCCTCGCACAGCATTGCTTGGCCTCGCTCTGCCCTGCGCTGCGCCCGCAGAACACTTACCCCGATGGCCCGCTAAAAAATCTTTAGCTGCTTTTTAGCACAAATCCTTTTTTGTAGTTTAAAACGCTTTGGACAGGATTTAGTTGCATGACTTTTTGCTTTTAACATTTTGTAAGCCCACATTTCTAGTGTGTTGGTCAGTTCGCAGCCGCATTTCCCACAAACCCGCCTCTCCCTCTCCCTCCTTGTCAAACACCCACTCGTCTCCCTTCAGCGCTTAACTGCTGACTGGCCTGAAGCTGTGCTGTGATCCTTATTCGGTTTCTGCACCAGACACGTAGCTCCATGGCCAAACGTGCGCGGCATTTTCAAATACAAATACATGTCCGCATTTTGTAGCTGCCACCCACTTACTTAGCAGCGTTCCTAACATCTAACCCGACTTAACCCTTTACTTTCAATAAATTCTATTTGAGTTTTAATTTTTTTCTTTTCGTGTCGATCGCATCTTTATTTTAACATTACAATTTGTTGTGGTCTACTTAAGATCAGAGTTCCCAAACAGTTATTATATAAGGGCTAATTGGTAGCCTGTTGACAGTAAAAACATCTTCAAATACCCTTTAGTTTGATTAATCCTTAAGAAGAGGTATGCCTATTTTGAGAAGGAAATATTTGAGATACTTTACAGTTTGTATTTATTCTTAAGTAGTATAAAGCGTCGAAAGGAACTGGTTAAGATCGTTTCTTTCATGATCTAAGGAACTGAAGGCAGCTCTTTGCACATCACAGGTTGATCAAGTTTCTACTCAACTTATGAAAACCATTTTCGGCTTGCATTAAATCGACTAAAAGTCAATAGCAAAATTTCATTTAATTTTCCTTGTAAATAATATTTAAAAATTTTAGTTGTGTTTACATTAACTAAACTTTAGAATATCTCCTAGTCGAGCTTACTTGACTTCTAGTTGTTTTATTTCCAGTTTTGTTAATTCGGTCAATATTTGCGGACGCACGAAATAAAAATGGAAAACTCAGCGAAAAAGTTTTCGCAGCGCTGTCGCAATGGCAGTGGCGACCAAGTTGAGGGAAAATAATGAAAAAATCTATTTAACCCCTTAATGGCTCTTGGGCTAAAGTTTTGTGTGTTCTGTTTTCCTTTTTTTCGCTGCTTCTTCTTCGTTCTGTACTATGTGGTCTGTAGTTTGTTTTGGTCAAGAGAAAGAGAGCAGAAAGCAGCTAACTTTTGAACTATTTGTAAAGGCTGAACACTAGAGTAATAGCATATATATACAAAGCGCTCTCTAAATATATATATAAATTTATTTATATATATATATATATATATATATATATATATATATATATATATATATATATATATATATATATATATATATATATATATATATAAGCAACAGTTGTAACAGCTGCAGAGCGAAAGGCAATTTAAGTCGTTTAAAGTTTTTGCCCAAAAATATTCACATAAAAAGTGCTTTGAGCTAAATATTCATTTGGGTTTTCATTGCTATTATTATCCTGTTTATTATTATTATTATAATTATTTTTTGTATTATTATTGTTTATTTTTATTTTAGCGTTTGCTCTTAGCGCTAATTATATGTCGAGTTGTTTGCACAATTTACCTGCTGTTTAGTTTGGCTGCCACGCTCCAGTTCTTCAGTTCACTTGGATTCAGTTCTGAAAAGCATAAAGCAAACAATTTTTTTTCATTTTATTAGTTTTTTAATTTAATTTATTTGTGCTTCTTTTGTTTTGTTGCTGTTGAGGCTTAGATTTAATGTTAATTAGCTTGAGTTACAGTTGGGAAATTCTGCCGAGAATATGGCTTCAGTTGAAAATAAATAAATATAAAAGGAGGAAACCATTAATTGAAATTAAATTTTAAGGCAAATTTAATACTTGGTTTGTGTTGCATAAATGCCAATTTGCTAGACCTTTTATACCCTAAAGTACATAGCATCTCGTGATACTGAAGATGGAAGGATGCATCTCTGAGTCCATCATTTATATATATATATATTCATCTCACCAGCAACTTGATTTTATTTTAGATATATGCTCTGTAAATACCACTCATTAGGCTATACTTCTGTGCTACATAAAACATGGCTTAAAGAAACCAAAATATTCAACGTGGCAGCCGCAATGGCAAACAGCTGACCATAAATAATCAAATCTTGTACACAATCTGCAAACAGATTTTGCGTTTCTAATAAATTTCACTTTGCGAGCGAGCGAAAAGGCAGCCAAAGAAAGTCAACAGTCCTTAGTATATATACAACATAGTACATCTGCCTTATATATATATCTAATAAAAACGAAGATTGGCCCTGAAGGCTGTCCACGCAAAAAGCCAAAAGCTTTTTGCCAGACAAGAAAATATAAAAATTTATATTTATATTTATGTCAGGGCGATATATGGAATTTGTTGGCGTGGCGATTTTTCGATAGTAAACACTATGGAAAAAAATGTATATATATCTATATATCTATATATATATATATATATATATATATATATATATATATATATATATGATGTGTAGCAGAGACAAGCAGTGATAACAGACACTGAGGAGCGACAGCAAATTATGGCTCACTGATTTTATAAGCAATTGTGTATGCCCTAACAAGGAGTACTTTGAGTTTGCAATGAAGTGTGGAATATGCTGAGAGTTGTATATTACATTATTATCAAGAATACTTTATATAAGAAGTTGTTGGTCTTATATTTCAGATGGGTCTATAAAAGACATCCAAGAAAAATAAGTTTTCTCTTTAATTTTTTCTTTTGCAGCCTGTTTTGTTAAAGGAAAATTTTGGGACTCAAAAATCGCACTGTGATTTGAACTTAAAACAAGCTTAGTCTTCTAGAAGTAAATAGCTTAAAAGTTTGTTTTTTTTATTACCCTATAAAAAAACTATATAAATTAAATAAATTAAGAATATCACTCCAATAAATATAAATCAAAAAAATATATGAAAGAGCATCACATCATTGTCATTTCATAGTTAACTCAATCACATTTTCGATGAGGCTTGGGCTTCTTTTTTGTCTGTCTGTTGTCAAGGACTCGGCCTCTTATATCTGCGGTGTGAAAATGTGGTTAGAAGTCAAGAACATCATAAAAACGTTGGCGTTTGGCTGGTTGAAGGTCGCACGACGCAGCAGTCGAACAGCTGTTGGAATGGAACGCTCTGGGATTGTTCTAACTCAGCTGCGAGCGTCGCCAGCGAAATCGGAGATTTTTTTGTATATTTCGAAGGCCCTGGGGCCAGTTGGCTCGTGTTGGGCTATTCACGGATTTTCGTGCTTTATTTTGCCTCTTTTTTTTGGCGGCACAAGAACAATGCGAAAACAAAACTTTCATTGCATAACAATAGGCGCAATGGCGTGCCACAAGCAGCATTTAAATATAAATACCTGCAGCTCGAGCAGAAAAACCACCAGAAAAAGCCGCCGCTGGCTAAAAAGTGAAAAGTTTTCTGCGTTTTACAGGTAATTTCTGTTTCTTTCTCTGTCTGTGCCCTTCTATCTATCTCGGTCTCACTCTTTGGTCGTTGGCACGTGAAAGAAAAAGTACAGGTGGCTTTTGGTCTATCCTCGTGGCCAGCAGAATAAATAAACTTCAACTTTTTGCTGGCCACAAGAAGCGAAAGAGCGGCGAGAGGGAGAACCCTAAAAAATCTACGAATCTGGAAAATATATCTACAAATATGTAACAATAACAAATGAGAAACAGAAACGGGCACAAAATTTCAAATAATAAACAAAAAAGAGATGCAAAAAAAGAGAAAATAAAATAAAAAAAACTCGTACAAGAAAAGTTTTATTTATTATTTTGGTTGCAGGCAAAGCGTGAAAAATTTGTTAAGCTTAAAATTGTGTTTTTTACGGATTTCGCTTTTGTTTTTTATGGTTTTAAGGTAGCAAATCATTGCGAACAAATACATACAAGCTGTTATTTACAGAGAGAGAGAGAGGAGCAGGTATGCCAGCTGCAGCAGTTGAGTGTAATGCTTAGAGTATAAGGAGGCACAAAATGGGTCAACAGTGAACAATGCAACACGAAAAAAAACTAGAGCAGCTACGATATGGATTAAAAAGAAAACTTGCTTAAGTCTTTAAGCTACATTTACAATGTTTCCTATTTACAAATGGAAAATTTTCTTGTCTAAAGTCTTAAAGATCTGTAAAATAAAACTTGTTTATAAATGAACATTTATATGACTGGCGTTATTTTTATTATAAAAACCTTTTGTTTTGTATATAAATTAAATTGAATTCAGGTTTTTGCTATACAAAATAATTTATTTGTATTATTTTTTATCTATTTCTAAAGGATCATTAACAAAATTAACTTACAAATTTAATACATTTATTTGTAAAATATTCTTTAAACAGCGTCTCACTTCCCTCACAATACTTTCACATTTTCATGAGCTTTTCCAATGATTTCCCTTTGTTTTTCCATTGCAGTCCCATAGTTCTATTTGTTCATCAATTATCATTAAGTCCATGCCCATCTGCCCACGGCTGTCTAGTTAAATTTTCGCATATCCACTGCTCGGCGTCTCGCTCGGCTCAACCCTTACAGCGTGACCACTCAACCTGCATTTTCTCATTATTTATACCGAGCTTTTTGGTTCTACCTTTTCGCTGTGATGCGCCACAAAATAATTGCCTACTTTTCAGGGCGCGAGGCACAGAAAACTTCATTTGAATGCAGGGATTTCCCCGTGGGAGCAAATTCCGTTGCCTATTACAGTTTTTTCATTCGCTTTTGCCTCCACAAGCATCCATTTTATTTTTGCAAAATTATACAAATTAATTTGGGAGCGACAATTGCGGAGTTTTGAGTCCCAGGGCCAGCCCCACGGCTCTTCTTCACCTCGCTGTATTCTTCAGTTGCGGAGCTGTGCCCATTTCGCGGGCAGCGCATTAATTATGCTCAAGTGTCCGCTGGGAATGTGGCCAACACTTGTTATGTAATGACTTTTGTAGGCGTGGTAGCCGTTGGAGTGGGAGGCGGGGCGTGATCACAGTGGACCGTGAGCGGCGTTGAGAGCACGAGAGAGCGAACAGGGAAACGTGGCTTTTTGTCAACGCGTCGCGTTGTTAGACAAGTTTGTGATTTGATTTAACAAACTGAGTTGGGCAACTGTGGGAATTCCTATTTGAAGAGCCTTAACTTGTTAGCAGAGGCGAGGAGAAACCGTGGCAGTGAGCGAGCTGAAAGCCTTTTGCTAAATAAAACTAAAGCGCTCGCTGGCAGCCGCGGTAAAAATTTATCGGCTCCGACAGCTGCATGGCAATATATCACAGATTTATGTCAGCATCATGAAAATACCATACGCAGTTAAAGAAATAAATACACACACACACACACAATACAACTATGAAAGCACAACGAAAGTAAATAGAGCGAAAAAACAATGCCAAAACAGAAGCAGCAACAAACACGACTGCAAATGTTTTTACGAAATCGAGCCAAAAGCGGAAACGAAAATGTTGAAGCTCAAAAGCAGAGAAAAGCGTAAAAACAATAAAAAGAAGAACAGAACACAAATTCGTGACTTGTTGGCATTGTGTGTGGGTCGGCGTGGCTGTGCATCAGTGTGTGTCGACTTTTAGCAAATGGTAAACAAATTGTAAACCTTATCAGTGATTGTACATAGGCGTTTTATGGTACGAGCAGTTCAAACAGCGAGAGAAAGTAAATGAAGCAAGCTGAATCATGCACACGATGCGGTTAAAGTTTAAATAAAACGCAAAATATAAAGTTATTTATAGACTTTTTAGATTGTGCCTCGCTTTTAACTAAATTATCTTAGCTTGTTTTTATTGCTTCGATTTTTTATAAATTTAAGTAACTCGAGTTTAGGCTGTACAAAATAGCGAAATAAAGATTTTTTTTTGTTTAAGAGTGTACTATATTAAATTGATGAATGATTAATGGACTTATATATATTAGACTTATATATATATTATAGTATTTAAACCAAAAAATATGTGTAAAATATAATACTTGAAATTAGACTATTATTATATCTTTATCCCCCTTTTATGTAGCCACTACTATTTTTATGAACAACTACATTTTTTAAAGTTTTCTTTGTCCCTAAGCGCACGTGATCCTAAGTTTGAAACTAAAAAATATACAAAATAATAAAAAAAAATATGTTAATGTTAATAATCCTTTTAAAATGTTTTCAAAACATTGCGCTTATCACACAATTGTCTTGCATAACATTTAGTACTCAGTCGCACTACTATTTTTATGAACAAACCCGTATATAGACGAACTCACAGACAGACCCATCAATCTCACTATTCTGTTATTAAGTTGGGTAGATCAATCAGCAAATGGAGATTCCAATTATCTGTTTATTATATTAGAACAATTTGCTCTGCTGCATTTTCACACTTAGAGCTTGAAGAGCACTTGATTCTCTTACAATACATATAAATTAGAGTCCAGACAGCTTTTCACGCTGATAAAATAAATGTTAAATAATTCTCTAGAGCAACAGCAGCTGCTGTCAAGCAGCACTCTTCACTCGGGTTGTCCCAGGCATTAATTTGCGCAAATGACAAAAGCATGTTGCAAATGGAAATTCTGTCTGTCAAAAATATACGTAAGTGGGTTAAAATCATTTACAACTGTTTTTCTTTT